GAGTAACCTTGTATTCCACAATATCTTAAGTGGAGATCAGATAAAGTGCGTGAGTTAACAGCCCCTTATTTAAATCTCTGGGTGCTGTGAATTCGGTATCAACTATATAATTCCTCTGTATGGTATTCATGGTCAGAATTTATTAACAAGGTGCAGGCCCCTGCTTGAAGTGTGAATTAGGGGAGACTATGAGGGTTCTTTTTTGGAGAGCAAGCATGGGGTCTCTTTGTAATTTAAAAAAAAACAACAAAAAAACATGTGCTTAGTGTGTGATAAGTACATTTAAAAAAAAAGAAGAGAGAGAGATAAAGTAAAGCATTATTGTTTGAGAATAGTCCTGCTCTGGCATGGAAATGAACTGGACTAAATTGATGTGTTCTATCTCTAGCCGCTAATTCTATAAACCTTGTTTATAGTAGTAGTACTTATATTTTCATTTTTTTCTTTACAAGATCAAAGTTTAATCACTCCAGTGTTTTGATTATATATAGGTTTTCCTTTTAGGATGTCTATTCAGTCAAACAAATTATTTAACTTTAGAAGTATAGTAAGATCCCTATTATCTAAATTTAAGCAACATTGGTAAGGTTATTTGGGCATTTGTATAATGGAGCGTTACTGGCAAAGAAGTCTCTAGGTAGGGGAATTCTTTGCAGTGCATGATATTGAGGGTTTAGATAATCAGAATCTTTCCGTACCTTCAGTATGTATGGAGTTGGGTGCTGAAGTACATTTCCACTTACGTGACGTGAGTCTAAAAGAAATTCACACCCTTAGTCTCTAGGTGGCAGCACCAGATACTATTTTCCTTTTGTTTCACAAAACCTCTAATGAGCAAAGGTATAAGTATATAAACTTTTCTGTTTGCATAGCTTCCAAAAAACGCTGATTTTAAGACTAATCTCAATTTTTTTAAAGATAATATTAATTTTAGGTAGTCTACAGAAATCAGTTAATCTGTTACCCTATCTCCCATAGTTGCCCTAAAAACTGACACTCCTTATGACTTCTGCTTTGTTTATGCTCACCACTTTAGTCTTTGGAGGAAAAAGCAGCCCTCCTCCCCCCCAGTCACCTACAAAAGTTTTAACTTCAAATTATTTTAGTAACCAAACCAAAATAGTATAAACTGTGATCATTCATTTAGTATTTTAAGACAACAATTACAACTTCAGTGGCAGCGTCCAGACCTTTCTTTTCTTGTATATTTCTGTCATACAAAGGTAAATCTCTTTGGTTTATCTTCACCATTACTTAAATTCTGAAGGATTTTTTTTAAAAATCATGAATACATCCTCTCCATTTTTTAAGGCTAAAAAACTGACCTGGAGTCCAGAGCCTTTAATGATAGTAAAGTGTTCAGTATGAAACTAAATCTGAAATAATTGGTAAACCCATATGACTTTGCCAATGTCATGGAAAGATAAGAGTCAAAAGCAGAAGTTTATTGCTTACAACTCTTGGGGCCTTCTTTTTTAAAAAATGTATTACAAAGGGAAGAGGAGCAGTTTTTCCATTCTTTAAATATTCCATGCTGTGGTTTTGTTTACCAAAATAGGGCATTCTGCCTTGCTGTGGAGGCTGCAACTTGGTGTTCTGAAATGGATTAAGTAATCAAGTAACAATCCATGAAAGGAAATAATAGATAATATAGGACCCAATTCAGCAAGAAAATCAATTAATGTAGGCATGTTTTTTAAGCACCTGATGAGTCCCATTGATTCAGTGGGGCTATTCACATGGATTAAGTAAGGTATACTTTGCTGAATCATCACCATGATTCTTCTGTTGTTTTCCCCAATCAAAATAGCTAGTCAAATGATAAAGATTATTTTAAAGAAGTAGAAGATTATTACCTGTTTGTTTGAATTTTTACCCATGTGTCTCTACCTACCCCATCCCGCCATTTTTCACAATCTGAATGTTGGAAAATCAGAGTTTAACTCAAGTCTGTGGACTTCCTCAGAAAGGGCAAAGTATGATATCCCTTCTTTAATTTGTATTTAGTGAAAGGGATTATCTAAGTGTAGTAAAAGATCCTTTGAGGAAGAATTAAAGATACATTTGTAATTGGAATTTACTGCTATTTCTACATTAAAGTAGCCATCATTACCTTTTACTTCATTTCTACATTTCCAACAAAGAGAGAGCGTTCATATTGTACACATGTCCTTGCACTCATCGTTATTGTCTTAGACCTCAGATAGCCCACCTTTTGTTTTTCCCTCTGAGAATCTGACGTATAAAGAAAATGTTGAGGAGGAGGAGGAGGAGAGAAATTTTAAATAAAACTTTTATCTACTACTTGTCTTGCAGAACATTTGTCTTTTTCAAAGCGTACAGATGAGCTTGTTTTTTTAAAAACATGCTGTCTCTCTCAAGGGACCCTGTGTACCATGGAGTGTGCGACAGTTGCTATTAGAAATGTTCTTTTATTTCTAATGACCTGTAAAAATCTATACGAAGTTTAAAAATCTAATTTGGTATGATGTTAGCCTTTATTCATTTTAATTGCCTTTGTGTAAAAAATATATATATATATATATATAATATAAAATAGGAAATTCTTAAAACGCTGGTCTGGGATAAGTTTTTAATTGAAATTAAATAGGTTAAATTGGTATTTTGTTTGCAATACACTTCTTTCTCTTGCTTAAATCTGATTCATTTATTAGTTATAGAAAAAAATAGTGTAATAATTAAAAAATTAGTTGTAGAATTTTTTATTTTGTGATAAATTTTTAAATGGTGGTATCATACAAGTTTAATTTAATTCAGTTTTGTGCCAAGGTGAGTTCTTTGGGTCTGTAAGTATTGTTTCTTTTCACTTGGTAAGACAAAGACTTCAATCTTATAAAGAAGTGGAGCTGGATGCTCATCCTTTTCCAGCTTCCTTAAAATCATTGCTAAATTGTTGCATTTCACACTTACTTAAACATTTTACTTCTTTACTTCGTTTAATTTTCTTAAACTTTCAGTTTTTTCTGAAAATATTCCTTTTTAGAAATGTTTTATGAGGCCTTTTTCTTTTATAATAAAGTAAGCCATTGTTCCTGAACATTTTGTCATATGTCCGTATTAGAATATAAATTTTGATGGACATTTATCTAGATTGTCTTTACCTGGGTTAAAAATAAATTGCAGATCAAGTAACTAGTCCTTTTTATTTAAAAAAAAAAAAAAAAGTTAAACACGCTGCTAAAAACATGTCAAGAAATGTGAAATTCATCAGCTTTACTTTGACCCTCAGATAACTAGGGAAAATGAATTTTGTGCTTGTGTTGGTTTTTTTCTTTTTCTTTTTATTGAGTCAATATTTTTAGGATTTTTTTATATATATTTGTTTAAATTCTTGTGTTCTGGCAACCAAAAATAAATCATTTTGTCTCCAACACTGCCTTTTTAAATGCTGCTCCTGAATTTTAACCACTGCATTAGATTGAAACCTACATGCTGTTAACCACTGAGCCAAAATGAAATCGACCACTGCATTGAAATCAGAGTTGGCAGTTGTATACGGACTTGAAGGAGTTGGTAATAGCAGTGCACCCGTGTTTCTTTAATGGGGTTTTTATTCTCTGTTTTCAGTTTTAATGGTCCCATTTTGATTTAAAGACTGTTTCTTAATAACGATGCACATTTTATTGAAATATTTTCAGTGTAACTTAAAAAGAAAACAACAATAAAACCATCCGCTAGGAGTGGTTTCCTCAGAAACAAAATGTTCTGTTGCATACTCCCATGATGGATAATGCAGTGTGCTTCTTTTATTTATAAAGCAATCTTGTATAAAAAGATAAGTGATTTCTTCGTGTTACATGAACCTTATCTTAGGTTAAACATTGTAAAATGTATTTATATTTTTTAAAGCAATCTTTTCCTGAGGATAGATTTTTACTTTCTGAATTTACATTTTTGTGACCCATTTTGTAGCTGTTGTACCAAATCTAAGGGGAAAAAAAACTGACCTAGCTGAATTGCTTACTTTGGTCTTGGAATTTTTATTTCTTATTAATAGGACTGGATCCCTCCCAATTCAAAGTCCATCACCATTACCATAAAGATGAGGAGAATGATGCCTTGCTTGGTGGCCCAGCTCAGCTCACTGATGAGGAGAAATATAGGGATTGTGAAAGATTCAAGTTTTCCTGTCCGAGATGTGGAACAGAGAACATTTATGACAATGTCTTTGATGGTTCGGTTAGTTTTTGGTCTTTTTGTTTCCATAGTAGGTTTGAAAAAAAGACTTCCTGTAGAAAAAGGAGCTTTTCAAACAAGGTTCATTGGAATTTGGACTGGGGAAAGACACTGTTTTGATTCTGTTATCGATAACTTTGGATCAGAGATTCAGTGCTGAATCCTATTCCATTCACACATTTCAACATTGTACTCTGTCAGACTAATGAAGTCAAATGATGCATCTGCTTTGGTTTACAAATAGAAGTTAGTGTAATTTTTTTTATATTTTAATTTTGATCTTAACTTTGTAACTTGCAATTTTCTATTTAATGAAGCCTGCTTGTAGCAATAACATTTTCTTATCCTAAATCATATTAATTGGAACATAGTGTTTTTGAAAATCAGTGTTTTTCTTTTTACATCTCACTTCCCTTCTTGACAGAAAGGTACTTCTGCACTATCTTTCCTGCTGTCTTCGTATATCAGACATAAAAAGTCATAGGGGATGCATTCCTGCCAAGAAGTACTGCCAAAAAATGTATCTCTGACCTTGGCTCAGAACTTGAAATAGGGCCAGGTATTTAACTCTGCTGCGATGTTATGCGTGGACTAGTCATTGGCAAATTAGCAGGCTGCAGAGTAGTGAAACCTTGAAAGTTAAAGCAAATATATCCTTTATCTAAATTAAAAGTAATTATTTTAAGTTAATTTGGACAAACAGCAGATGTTTCGCATTTTTTGAATCAAAACAAAGCAGTCTTTGGAAGCAAGCAAGAGGAAAGGACAGACACAGATCAGCAATGCTTTGTAAATCCTTGACTTTTGCTTCATTACAGCTGTAAATACGATAGTTAATTGCATGGAGGCTTGACGACTTGCAGATGGGCTAACTGTAGAAGAGCTTATGTCAAGCTCTAAAATCTCTTCCACCTGGGATTGCTTAGTGTTGTGGGTGAGGTTTTAGCCAGATCGGATCAGAAAAACATGGATTTTAAATATTAACAGGAAAAAAATCCCTCACAAACTTACAATCATACAGCCATGTAGGGTGTTCCTTTACAATGAGAATTTCACTAACTTAATTTTAGCTATTTACGATCAACCTTTAGGATCTGAAAACTCAATTTCACGTTGACAATTAATGTACAGTCTCTGATTTTAGTGGATGACGTGGTATAAATCTTTAATATTTTTCTTTGTACTTTTAAAAATTATTAAATGAGCCTGAACCAAAAAAGATAGCTTAATGATGTACACTCTTGTAGCACATCTTCACATTTGATGCTTATAGGAATGATTCCAAGACTACAATCAATAGTCTTGAAGGATGTTGGTGTCCTTTATAAAAGTGATAAGCCTGTCTTTTTCAGAGGAATTGATTTTACTATAGATTTCACTAGTTTATTTTTATTCAACATCATTATTTGAATGATAAAGTCTGAAACAAGTGATGTTAAGTTCCCCAAATGACCTTTGTTTAAGAGAAGAGTGAAAAGACTGTACATCCTAGTGGAGAAGAGTCTTTAGGGATGGAGAAGCCAATTGTCATGGGGTAGGAGGAAGGAAGACCTCTGTCGGGGATTAAATTAAAGAAGGCTTTTACAATATTTTGTCTCTTTTTGCATTGCTAGTGTAGGTTTGTGTATATACTGTATACACACTCTTGTGTGATAACTTTATAGTGGTTTTGTGATTGTTTTCAACATTATTTTAATCTGCAGGGAAAGCTTATGGAACCCAGCTTGCAACAATGCAGTAAGAAAGAATGTGACGAGTCCCCTTTCAACTATATGATTCAAATGAACAACAAACTACTCTTGGATATTAGACGTTACTTAAAAAGCTACTATAATGTAAGTATCCAAAAAGTATTCTTTACAATGTTAAATTAATCCTCAGTTCTCTAATGGGTACTCAGTTTTTCTTGGGGGTGACAGAGTATTCATTTTGTGCAATACTGGTTACTGTGGTTTATAATAGCTACAAAAAAATCCCCCTTTCCCTCCATAACTAATGTGATTTTTATTCTCATTAAAATAGATTGATGGATGTTAAATCCCAATTTAAAATACTTCTCGTTTCTAAAATAAATTTTAATATTCCCCAGTCTAGAGGATATGATAGATAAGAACATCTTAAATTTTTGCATATAGGTTATTGGCCATGTTACATATAGAGTAGATCTTTGTATTTTAAGTTTATTTTTTGAAGAAAAGGTGACTGTAATGCATTGAGAAAAATCTATGAAGGTAGGAATTTGAGCATGCAAATACCAACTTTTCTTTTAAACTAAATCTGGTTCAAGATGCATTATTTAATGAACAGTCCATTAATTTGAGAAAAGAGGCCTTGTCCACTAATAATGTTCTGAAGGATGACAGAGATAACTTCTTACTAGCTCTGTGGGTTATGAAGGTTTCTTTCTGGCCACTTTGGTACAATTTTTTTTAATCAAACATGTTGAAACCAGACACAAGCATAAAGGTTTTGGCATTTTTGGCATTATACAGCTTCTTCCAAGCAGCATGAAGAAGGCTGTTTAATAGCAAAATGTTACTGTCTATTCTTGATATATCCATTTGTGGTTCAAAAATGTAAATAAAAGATATTGTATGGATTAAAGTGCTCCGTGGCTCTTATAAACTGGACACAACCACTTCTTATGTATCAAAGTATTCAGATGTCATGGGACTAACTGAGTCACTTTTAGAGTGTACAGACAAACTTAATATGAACTTAAGTATGACTCTCTACATACAATGAAAATGTGTATCTACTGAAATGAGTTCATTTTCTTTTTTAGTTGCAACATAAATCATAACTAGACCCTGGGGCAGGTTTATGGTGAGATGGGTTGGGAATGTTTTTGTGAAATGGTAAAGGATATTTTATTCAGAATAGTCAATGTGGGAGCTTCAGATGCTCAGCGCTTCTGAAAATAAGGCCTTGGGTGTATAAAGCTGAGTAACCAAAATTAGACTCTGTTTTTGAAAATTGAGTCTTTTGAATGGCTTACCAAATTGATGGTTCCTTTGGTTGAATATTACAAAACGTTTGCAGGGAAGTACAGTAGTAATATTTTTTTCTAATAGCTCCAGTTTATGCTTATGTTCCAATAGCTCTCACTTGTGTACTGTTTTTTCCTCTGTATTAATTCTTAACACATTATTAAGTAAATGTTTCCATACTTATCACATTGCCAGTGGGGGAAAAAAAAACCTCAATTCCGTTAAGAAATTCTTTAAAAAAAAAAATCTCAATTCCTTTATATTTGTTTGTAGTATTTGATGGCCCTATTTTCAGAGAGCCAAACAGTTCTTTGCCATGTTTAAATTTAAATTTAGTCACTTAATTACAAGTGCGAATAAGTTGCTCCTTCATATGAAAGTTGAAGGCATTGTCAGATGGTTTGAATAGGCAACACCATACCGAACGTATGGGTTTGAGACCTCATATTTAACCTTCATTTAACCTTAACCTAGCAGAAGCTTCCTTTCAAAGTTCATCTGTTTCCAAAATGGACATAATTGTAGTTACGTAATGAAATTTGTTTTATTAAGGCAATATATCAAGGCATGTAGCTTTAGTATAAAAGTTGCTTACCTGCTAAACTTTTCTAGATTTGATGCATTTAAATTATTATAATTATTTAACAAGTGCTAAGCTCATTTCAAGCACTTAATGTGCTAGAAAACATTACATGCACAGAATGTACAATACTGAGCACATTGAAAGAGGCAAATTGTGTTCATGTTAAGGGGAAAGAGTTAGTATTGCACTATGCTCTGTCCATATCAATAACGTCTTGCTATAGGTTTGTTCCACATCATTATGGAATCAAGTTATAAATCAAAATGCAAAGTGCCATTGTTTGAATGCTGCCAAACGATTAGAAAGGTTCATTACATTCTAACTTTTTAAATATCCTTTTCCATGGTCCATAGAAATTGTGATTGAATATAACTAATGAGCTCCTTCATGTGGAAGTTATAGCAGTGTAACAGGGAGTTCCCTGAACTTTTTGATACATTTTAATAGGAATATATTGAGAATTGAGCTTTAGACCAGTTGATCAAATTATTTGTACAGCATTTTGAAGGTAAAAAAGCTGTGTAAATGCCAAGTATCATTATTAGTCTCCAGAAGATTGAGATGACTGTGCTGCCAGAGCTTGTTTCCAAATAGAATAGTATTTTAGTTTGTAAAAAGGAGATTTCTTTGAGTTGGACAGGAAACCTTTATTGTATCCCAGTAATAATTAGAGAGGCAGGTGCTCTGTGAGCTTCATTTTATCTTTTATCCAGTATTTCTAATCGCTGTGTAACAGTTGGAGTTGAAAATTTTCAAGTGAGATGTTTGGGCTAAGGGAAATATATAATCTTATAAACTATGACATACCTTCTGAGCAAAACTTTGGATGAAACTTTGAGACTTGGGTGTAGCAGATGGTTGTTGGAATGGCTGTGCCCTTCAGCTGTGGAGGAAGAGAGGTAAAAATTTAATATAGAAAAACAAAATGTTAGTTCACACTTGTATGGCAGATATTACCATTGTTTCTATAAGGATAAAATTGTACCTAAAACAGAAATGTATCTATATGAAAATGTAAAGGCTTTGTTTTAACCTTGAAAATATAGTAAACTACATTTTATGACGGTAACAGTGCCTAGGTTCTGATGATTTCTTAACGCCTGTTCCAAAGCCCATTTAAATCAATGGGAGTCTTTCCATTGAGTTCAGTGGGCTTTGAATCAGGCCCTTAAGGATTTCAGACCACGCCTCCTTCATTCCTTATTCTGTTTAAGTGCCTTAAAAAGTCCAGCCTTGTAAATTTATCATGAAAGTTTATCAGCTTAGGTATAAAATCGGTTTGTCAAGGTGCTGATAAAAATCGAACGATATTTTACTTGTAAAAAACAAAACAAAAAGAACCCCAAATAAATACACCATGCAAGTGGGCAAGTAGAACTGTGCAAGCCTGCTATAATTCCTACTGTTTTAACGCATGCATTCACCTTTTTGTAAAATACATTTATTTGTTGCTAAAACCAGCCTGGTTCCATTTGAACACTGAAATATTGTTTAGCTACCACAAACAGCATTTAGCATTATTCCAGTAGTTAATTCCTTGATATTAAATAACATACACCAGCCTTGATCTTAATTATTCATTTGTAACTGCAAATATATTAAGCCAAGATGACATCCAAAGATTTTAGTTTCTTTCCAGAGCTGCATTATTCTTTTGAAAGATTGATCTCAGTTTTTTAAATTCTGCTGCAGAAAAGCAAATAGAGAGAGAGAAATAGCTAATCTAAATTGGGAAATGAAGAGGGCTTTTTTAAGCATGAAAATTTCATCATCTTGTCAGCTGGCAGAATGCCTGCTGTGTGGATTCACAAAGGCTAAGAATTACACTTTCATGAAATTTTCCTCACTAACTGCCCTGGTTAATTTGAAAGATAACCCACTGTTTTAATTCATTCCTCAATTGGGCGGTGCAGGTTTTATTTTTGATCTGACAAAGCATTTGTGTTAATCGTTTTGGCCCTCTACTAGACACTCTTGGGATTGTGCTTTTACAATAAACGTGTCTGTGATAGCTCTTTAGTCTATTATACTTACAATAGATCCATAGAACTGGTAATTAATTCTGTACTGCTTTGGAAAAGGGAAGAATAGGTGTAGCTCTGTCAAGTGCTGCTGGGAAGTTTGTTTAGCTGGTTCATTTTTGAAGTGTTACCCTCAGCCATCAATGAAACATCCATGCTGGAGAGAGGCTAGGACAGAAATCCATGACCATAAATGAGTAAATAAACCCAACTTTTACCTTGAAGAGTGGAGTCACTTAATTTATGGTATTTGCATCTAATTCTTAGGTTGAAAAAGTATAACAGAAACTTCCCGTTTAAATATTTGTCTATAATGTGGACACACGTTATAGAAAGACTTTAGGGAATAAAGGTTAGCTATTCTATTGCCTTTAATAAACCCCAGGCACATCCCAATCCGTAGCCATAAGAAAATTGCAGAGTCTAATACTTGGCACCCCTAAATACGTTCCTCATATTTCCTTTGGTTATTAAGAGAAGAAATGGATTACCCATTTAATATCCACAAATTGAAGCTAAAAACAGAGTACATTACACGTGCGATCTGACTGATAGCAAAGTTCACCTTGCATTGAGTGGGTTGTTGATGAAGAACTATTATCACACAATCAAAATATTCTTTTACCTGTTCATGTAATGTACACCTGTGATGCATCAGCAGCTTGTTTGTAGTTAAGGGATACGTTTAAATATAAGGAAGTCTCAAGTTTATTTGCTATTAGTTCACTGTTACTAACACTGTAAAACCTGACTTATGCATCTTTGTTTCATGTACAGTATTTATTTTAAAAAAATGCAACTAGCCTTAAAATAAGGTGTAACAAAATGCCTTTATTTCATGGCCCTTGTCCACTGCGCCACTGTACCCCACAGATGGAAGTGAGTTTGAAGGCTATTGAACACTGCTAAATAACTTTGTGCTGTTCTGCTGTGAAAATTCAGTGTTCAATAGCCCTCAAAATTTCTCATTTCTTACCTGTGGTGGGGTGGTCTGCTGCTGGCACGTTAGGTCTCAGTATAAAGCATATAGGTACCCTACTTGAAGCTCTCTTGAATTATTTTAGTTTTTGTGTATACCTTGGTTTTTGCATTAATATTTAGCACATTTAGAAAGAACTTTTTTAAAACAAACGCCATTATAAGAAGTTATAAAAAAGCATGTAAATATTGAGATTTCAATACATATCCACATAACAGTCCAAAGATAACACTGCTCTACAGCCAAAATGCTTCTGAAATAA